CAGACGTATATATTCGCTAAAAATTTATAGGGCTCAAACTGCTCCAGACGGATAAATTCGCATGAATAGTTAAATTGGATCAGGCTGCTCAAACCGTATATATTCGCAACCGTGCGCATAGTGACTCGGTTATTGCAATTGGTAAGGCGAATTTTTGCGGGCGAGCTTATACCGATTGTGACAAATATTTTTATGGAAAGAGGTACTGGTAATAATACCAAGATTGTTCATGTTTCTTTCAGTTTCTATTTAGTACATATACTGTATTTTATTCAAAATAAAATCGTAAAATTTATCGTAAATCGTAATTTAACACACCATAATGTAAAACTATAAGTGGTCTAACTGCTCCAGACGTATATATTCGCACGCGATAAACTTTCGCGCACGGCGCGGTAGCTACGTTCAGACGTATTGCGCAGCAAAAGGGTTAAAACTCTGAAATAATTATTAATAAAAATAAACAAAAAATTTAAATTTAAACACTGTATTTCGGAAATGAAGCATATTTTGACCTGCATTTATATTAACTTTTTTTTCACAAAATAACTAGCAATCGCCTCCTTAAATATTTTGCACTTATTTACAAATACCCTGTATAAACATTGTAGTTCAATGTAGAAATAAAAAATAAGGATAAGTCAGTCAGAATTAAAGAGTTGAATACAGAACAATTAAGTAAGTAAATTTACCTAAAATACAGGAGATTGTTGCCATAAATTATTTTCATTTATAACAAAATTTTATTTACTGAAATGGTGTTATTCACACAACAAAATTCACTGGTGGTGAAAAATGTTTGAGAAATCTAAAAAACATGGAAATTAATGATTCTCTCGAAGTACTTGCAATAGTCAAATAATATTATTCATTCAAAAGATGCCATTTTATTTTTTATTTAAATTAGTTGAAACTAGCCGAAATATTTCTAACAGGAATTTAAAAAATCCATTAGCGTACAGTATCTGGCTAATTTGAAAGGAAAATGAGAAATCCAATTTGCTGTAAAACAGAGACAGATATCGACAAAAGAGGCATTTTTCAGAAGATACACGGTGTCCCGAAATTCATGCAACAAAATTTGGCCATAGATTCTTAAGACAAATTTAGGGGATCCGTATTTTTTCTTTTTACCAACTGGCCCCCTCTTTCGGAGTTACAGCCCCCTGAAATCTGCCCCTAAGAAGTCTTTTTTATATCTCAAAAGCATGTTGTACGAGAATCACTACATTTGGTACACAGGGCTTTTAAGACATGTAGAATCTCACAGTGCTATGCTTTTTGACGAGAAACCCCCTTAAGACACTTTTTCGTGGGCCCCCTTGCCTTTGGAATCAGAAAAATTTGGTCGCTAATTTGATTTTTTTTTAAATTATTAGTTAGAAAGCCATTGAATTTAGAAACTTTTTGTCTCTTGATATTTGTTTCGTAAAAAACAATGTTTTTGAGGAAAATGGCAAATCACAACATGTATTCGATCACATTTTGACATTTTTTACAAAAAAAGTATAGAGACAAAATGTTTCTAAATTTAATGGCTTTCTAGTGGACTGATAATTTTTAAGAAATTTAAATATGCAACCAATTTTTTTTGGCTCCAAAGACAAGGGGGCCCACGAAAGTGTCTTAAGGGGGTTGCCCGTCAAAAAACGTAGCACCATCAGATTCCACGTCATAAAACCCCTGTGTACCAAATTTAGTGATTCTCGTACATGGTTTTGATATAAAAAAAAAAGATTATTCTTAGGGGCGGACTTCAGGGGGCTGTAACTCCGAAAGTGGGGGCCAGTTGGCAAAAATACGGGTCCCCTAAATTTGTCTTAAAAATCTCTGACCAAATTTTGTTGCATGAATTTCCGGACACCCTGTATAATCAATTATTATTTTGCAGAGGACCATACTATTATTTTTTTATAAAATAGTAGAACGAGTTTCCCATATTTCCGCCACTGGTTGCGCAAGTCTTGATATTACAGTATTTTATGGAGACATAACCTACACCTTTAGTTCAAATACCTTTTTTATTTCATATTTACAGTAAATGAAATATTTTTTAACTATTAACACCCTGTATATCGAAAACGATCGAAATAAGTTTATATGACAAAGTACCATTATGTTTCGTTGTACTATCTGTTCCCGAAATCTCATCGGTTAAATCTGAGACACCCTGTATATTATAGTTGTTTTGTCCAATTTTACACATGGTTAATAAAAATCTTATATATCCTAAATTAAGTTACCCGTTACGACTAGTTTCAATTGAAATGCAAACTTGTCGTGTGTTAGTTATAGCGTAACAGTCGATAATTGTCTACTTTCTCAGTACCCCTCGACCGATTCTTTTTGACGTACAAGTCATTTATTGTTCTATTCCTTTTCACTGTGGCACAAATATCCAATTATTAAACAAATAAAAATTAATAAAAAAAACGCCACAAATAAATTATCATCGATATTAATAAACAAATTTAAAAAAAAGTACGCAACAAAATTCAAATGGAATCATTCTGAAAACTTTATAATAAGCGGCTCACCTTCTCGCAGAAACTCTTAAACGCAGTCTTGAGCTTGTGCCTCAATTCCCTTTCCGACTGCTCGGCTGCCAGGTCGTCCCTATCGTGCATGTGCTGATGTTTGCCCAGGTCCGTGGTAATTTCACCGACTTCGGTGTAGAACTGCACGTCTACGTGCTTCTTTTTCCCAAACATTATAGCGTGCTTCAAGTGGAAATGAAGTAGGATGATCATCTCGCCGTCGCAGGGTTGGAAGAAGGCGTTTTTTATGTTGTTGTAGAGGATGTCTACCTTGTCACCTCTCACAGACGTGTAACGGAAGCCATTTGTGTGGGCTTCCAACGAACCAGTCATCCGCTTGGTGACGATATTGGGTCTAATGTAGAGATCCTTCAGTTTCGGATTGCCTTTATTTTGAGACAAGATCAGAGTGTCCTGCTTGACGAGGTCCTCCTTTTCCTTCTCTTCAGCTTCACGGGTCTTGAATTTTCTTTGGACTTCTTTGATAAGGCGGAAGGCGGTATTTAAATTGGACGAAGGCGGTGATATCTCGCCGGGTTCTTTCGTGTTGGTGCTGCGGTAAGTGAGTTCCTTTACAAAGGTCGCCTCGGGTTGAGTATAGTTGCCTGATACAAATATAATAATTAATTGGTGCATAAAAAAGTTGTATTGCAAAATATTATAAACAATTCATTTCAGACACAAAACCAAATATTTCTTCACATATTTTTCAGAAATAATTAAAGTAGAATGTATATTTCTTAAAATAATATGTTTTATTAATTATAATAGTTTGGTTAATTAAACAGTTATAAAATGACTTCAAATTATGACTTTCCTAGAAAAATAAAACGTTAATTTTTTTTTAGTAATTAAAATTTTTTTAGAACATTGCTGAAAGTAATAGAACATTTCCCAGATCATTGCAACAATAGAGTTAAAATTAAGTACGTCGACAAATTTTAAGGAATTACTCCAAGTGATTTTTATGCCAAAAATGTTATATAAATATGATTCTGCAAATTGATAGTTTGCGCGATATAGGATTGAAAAAAACGGATATAAATACATGCGCCAATNTGTTGTTACGAAATCCATACTGACAGTCATGAAACAAATTATTACACTCAAAGTACTCGTTTATTTGATTCTTTAAGAGTCGTTCAAAGACTTTAGCCAAAACAGATGTTAATGATATTGGTCTATAGTTCGATGGGTCGACTGTAGGCCCCTTTTTATGGATAGGAATTACTTTCGCTATTTTGAAAACTCATTATATAAATAATTGAGTGGGGACAGAAATAGATTTTTTAAGGTTTTGACTATTTTACTATTAATGTCATAAGGGTCTTTAATCGAACTATTTTTTAGATTATCCAAGACGTCTCTAACTTCATTAAAACTTACTTTGCGAAACTTAAAATTTGAAAGAGAATTTGGGGATTTTAAATAATCATCAAATATATATTGGTACTTGGTAGGCCGCTAAGAATTTCTTGAGCAATATTGGAAAAGAAGATATTAAATGCTTGGGGATCAATCTTAGATTCAGCAGATGATTTAGGTTTTGGTTTATGATCATTAATAATATAGCGTAACAGTCGATAATTGTCTACTTTCTCAGTACCCCTCGACCGATTCTTTTTGACGTACAAGTCATTTATTGTTCTATTCCTTTTCACTGTGGCACAAATATCCAATTATTAAACAAATAAAAATTAATAAAAAAAACGCCACAAATAAATTATCATCGATATTAATAAACAAATTTAAAAAAAAGTACGCAACAAAATTCAAATGGAATCATTCTGAAAACTTTATAATAAGCGGCTCACCTTCTCGCAGAAACTCTTAAACGCAGTCTTGAGCTTGTGCCTCAATTCCCTTTCCGACTGCTCGGCTGCCAGGTCGTCCCTATCGTGCATGTGCTGATGTTTGCCCAGGTCCGTGGTAATTTCACCGACTTCGGTGTAGAACTGCACGTCTACGTGCTTCTTTTTCCCAAACATTATAGCGTGCTTCAAGTGGAAATGAAGTAGGATGATCATCTCGCCGTCGCAGGGTTGGAAGAAGGCGTTTTTTATGTTGTTGTAGAGGATGTCTACCTTGTCACCTCTCACAGACGTGTAACGGAAGCCATTTGTGTGGGCTTCCAACGAACCAGTCATCCGCTTGGTGACGATATTGGGTCTAATGTAGAGATCCTTCAGTTTCGGATTGCCTTTATTTTGAGACAAGATCAGAGTGTCCTGCTTGACGAGGTCCTCCTTTTCCTTCTCTTCAGCTTCACGGGTCTTGAATTTTCTTTGGACTTCTTTGATAAGGCGGAAGGCGGTATTTAAATTGGACGAAGGCGGTGATATCTCGCCGGGTTCTTTCGTGTTGGTGCTGCGGTAAGTGAGTTCCTTTACAAAGGTCGCCTCGGGTTGAGTATAGTTGCCTGATACAAATATAATAATTAATTGGTGCATAAAAAAGTTGTATTGCAAAATATTATAAACAATTCATTTCAGACACAAAACCAAATATTTCTTCACATATTTTTCAGAAATAATTAAAGTAGAATGTATATTTCTTAAAATAATATGTTTTATTAATTATAATAGTTTGGTTAATTAAACAGTTATAAAATGACTTCAAATTATGACTTTCCTAGAAAAATAAAACGTTAATTTTTTTTTAGTAATTAAAATTTTTTTAGAACATTGCTGAAAGTAATAGAACATTTCCCAGATCATTGCAACAATAGAGTTAAAATTAAGTACGTCGACAAATTTTAAGGAATTACTCCAAGTGATTTTTATGCCAAAAATGTTATATAAATATGATTCTGCAAATTGATAGTTTGCGCGATATAGGATTGAAAAAAACGGATATAAATACATGCGCCAATGGCCGAGATATCGAGTCAGTTTCACTGAAAAATATTGTGCCAAATATTTTCTCGGACTTTTTATGAACATTTTTTACGAAACGAGTATTTCTAGTTATGTTAAGATTAAAGCAATGCTTGGTAGTATTACTTTTACAGACAACCCATGTTTATATAACCTATTTCGTTTAAAATTATGAACAGAATAACCATTTACTGTTTGTCGACATACTTCGACCCTGCATATAGGTTACTTATACATTATTATCTCGTATGATCATTTTAAATTATCATTTATACTCGTCCATTCTGAGGAATATTCTTCAAAAATAAATCCTTGAAAGTTTTACAACATTAAATATAGATTACTCTATTCAAAAGATTACCTAAAGACATATAACATTCATTTCAAAGTAAAAAACCAACAGTAAACATTTACTCAAAACTGTACCAAAAGAAAATATAGTTTTAATCGTAAAAATTTGTAATAAATTTTTTGTTGATACGATTAAAAATATAAATTTCTTACCATCAGTTTTACCCATTGTAGATCCAGGATGGAAAAAGTTGATACGCAAGTATGTGTAATCTCCTTCAACCGACTGTGAGATGTTCTTGATTGTCGAAATATGAAAAGGTACGGCTATACCATAAATGGGTAAAATAACAGTTTCATACTTTTGATCGACGTAAAGCTTCAATTCTTTAATTTCGGTTACTCTAGGCATCTGATTGACATTTTTGTAGGAGACTGTATTTTTCCTTACTTTTTCCACATCTTTAGCTCCAGACTGTTTAGCCAATCGTTCTTTTGCTTTTTCATTTAAAAGGGTAGCAAGCTCCTTTTGATGTTCTTTTCGCTTTTCTTCAGTGCTATGTTCTGTGCGCAGTTTGGAGTCCAAAACTGCAGATCGTTTTCCTCTGCCCAAAACTTCAGTTTTGGGAGTGTTTTCCTTTTCCTCATCATTTTCTTCCTCTTCGGATTCATCTTTTAAGAAAATACCGATGTTCTTGATTTTTTTCTTGGATATGGTAAGTACTGTTGCAGGTTGACCATCATTTACCATGACTGTATCGCCAATAAACAACGCATATATTTTGCCTTCTCTGTCAGAGGCTTCTTTATTTTGTAAATTACTGAAACCCATATTCAAGTTGAACACCATGCCTTTTTTAGCTACTACAGTGGTTTTGGGACCAATCATTAAGGAACTTTCCCTGAATTCAATGCCCGTAGCAAAACCAAAATTTTTGGTAATATGTGAATACAATGCAGCCTTCTCTTTTTTTATATATTCACAACCCGCTTCAAATACTTCCGACAGTTTTACACCAGATTGCAGTTTTTTCATTACCTCATCTTCCAAGTTAACAAGAAAATTGTAGTTACTCTGAATTTCTTCTGTAGGATTCACCAATAATGTTCTGACAATATTAGAGCAGTACGATTTGTATCGAACTCCTAATGAACAAATAATAGCTCCAAAATGCAGAGTGTTCTTATCACTGGTAACACTAAATTTTAAATTGTAATTTCCACCAGACTGAATAATGGCTGGGTAACACATATCCACTTGGCTAACATCAACACCTGACACATACTTTTTATCATTTATAGCCGACTCAACACCTTCTGCTAATTTAATATGTTTGACTTTTTTCTCAGAATCAATAATTTCCATAATTTGATCTTTAAGGTACTTTGTAAAAACATCAACAGTTACCATGCAAGCTTTCTTTATTGTCAGAATCTCGGTGTCCTCCTTAGGAGCCATGAGGTAACCGACGGCAGGTCCAATATCAATTTGTTCGAATTCTTCCCTTCTTAGCATATTTCGCCAAGAATCCATTAACGGGCCTGTATAGTTTTCCTTAGCGAATAAGCCAATAGTTTTACCATTTTTACTTTCTTTTATAGCCGTAGAAAGGATTTTGAATTTAGCTTCGTCGCTATCTTTCTCTCTTACCAGTAGAGACAAAGGGATATTGTCATCTTTCCCTTCTGCTTGTCTCAGAAAGTCTACCTTTTTCTTGCTTGCTAGAAAATAAGCTTTTTTCTCTGTGAGCACCATAATGGTATCTGTGAGTTCGTATCCCAAAAGCCATGTTTGTAAAGCACTCGACTTGCTGTAAACGATATCATCATCTTTACCGACAGCAGTAACCAAAGCATCCATCTTAGAAAATCCATTTTCACCTTCGGAATTCTGCCAAGCACTGTAAAGCTTCTTTAAGCGCCGATGAAAAGTATCCTTGTCGAGATTTAAATTAGCCATTTTCTTATAGTTTTAGCAAAAACACTGTTCCCATACAATACAACCACCATTAGAGCGGCGTAAAAAGGCGCTATTTGCTATTGCAATTTTATACAACGCGCAGCAAAAAGCGTCATTTGTCATAGGGAACACCAACATCAGCAAATAAAAACCCTGTCCTTTTAAATATTTGTAATTTTTGTGGATTAAAATCCCTAGAATTTGTTTGTAGCGTCCTCTCTTAACAATAAGCTATATTAGCGGTTATTATACTATTTCTTTCTAATATCCTGCGTTAATTGATAAATACTTCAGTCAACGTATCCTGGTATATTGAATTTAAACTATTATAGGAATCCACTAACTATTAGCCACTAGAGTACTTACAACAAAGTATTAGTCATGATTTTTTAAATCTATACAATACTTGCGAAAAATGTATCGTATCGTATTGTACTGTTTACTATGGTACGGTACAATTTGTACCGGTACAAAATATCGAGTATCGGTAGGAGTGATAGAACTACTTCCTACTTTTTACTATCATCACATCACAGCATATATTTATTTTGCTGTGCTACTATGTATAACTAGGGGCACTAGCGCTATTATATGATATGTTTTGTGACTACACTGTCTATTCCATAGAAAACTTAACGTTAGTACTATCTTTTCTATGGTCTATTCAAGGAGAAGACAAAAGCATGTACTTGTACTACTTCTAGCTTCTAGTTGAACGGTTGAACTATTGCACATTGTACTTTGATAATTATAATTAATATGATATATGATGACGTATTCGGTATAAATGATCTACTAATTTAATACCTAATGTTACTTTTCTAAATTTAGTTGTTTAATTAACTACAGTAATAATTTTTTGCTTGAGTTTTGCGGTAAATGGAAATTTCTACTGTTTATGGTCCGAAAATGAGATTTTTTATCCTTTGATGTTTTCAAAATTTACGTGAAATAAAAACAGGAATGTATGTGAAAAGTTAGAGGTAAATGCCTTAAAGATGTTGAATAATTAATAACGACAAAAACTAGAGAGGAGAGATAGACAGACTTCCTATGATTTCTAGGTAAGTGTGATGAATTTTTTGAAATTAATATCTTGATAGTTACATAACCTAAAAATGTTGTTAGGCAAGTATGAGCAATATTGGACTACTTCTCAGTCTGACTGAAAGCTTCAACTGGAGAGAGTTTGCCTGTGGATGGGGAGCAGCCTTCATTAATGTCACTGTTACCTACCCAATTAATAAATTAATTTTTCGGCAGGTATGGAACGTACTATTAAAATTGACTCTAGATATGAGTGTTAAAAATTTTCCAGATGTTACATGGTGTAAAGGCACAACATGCATTTCACCAGCTTAGAAATGAAGGTATTTTCTTTCTATATAGAGGTATGTTGCCACCACTTTGCCAGAAAACACTTTCCCTTTCGATAATGTTTGGAGTTTACGAAGAAGTGCGAAGGCATTTAAGAGACAATGGTTTTAATAGTTATACGGCAAAGGCATTAGGCGGCTTGGCATCAGGCACAACAGAAGCAATTTTAATGCCATTTGAAAGAGTACAAACACTTTTAGCAGACGCTAGATATCACGAAGAATTTCGCAACACTTTCCATGCATTTAAAGCTCTCCGAAGTTATGGCTATGGAGAGTATTACAGAGGTTTAGTTCCAATTTTACTGAGAAATGGACCCTCAAATGTTGGGTTTTTTATAATTAGGGATGAAATACAGTGCCGAGTGCCCAAACATGAAAATGAAGTTGTTAGAACTATAACTGAATTCATTTGTGGAGCCATGATAGGTGTAGTACTATCTAGTTTATTTTTTCCTTTAAACGTTTTGAAGGTTGCAATGCAAAGTAAAGTCGGTGGACCTTATGAAAATCCTTTCAAGGTGCTTTTACAAGTGTATAGGGAGCGTGGTGGAAAAATTAGGTATATTTATCATGGCGTTCATTCTAATTGCACCAGAGCTTTTTTAAGTTGGGGTGTTATGAATACCGCCTACGAGCATATAAAGGCTATTATATATTAGCGACAATTAGGCGTACTTTAATGTTTTTCTTTTTTGTGCATATTTTAAAGTGATACATAAGTATATGTGGTTTTAATTTTTAATACCTCGTAAAGTATTTACCTTTAATGCTTTTAATTGTTGAGTAAAATTGAAAAGGTTCTATTTTTTTATTGTTTTATTAAATATTTATGAAAGTTGATTAAATAGAGACTGTACATTGGTTAAAATAAATAATTGTTTGTGATTTGTGTGGCTTATTTATGATGAAAATATACCGCGGAATATCATAAATTTAATCTATTGATTTGTTTTGTTTCCTGAAAGGATTATAATACATTTTTTTATCTTTGTCAGTAGAACAGATTAATATTTCACATATAGAGAGATGTACGGTACGATTTTCTGGGTCTGGGTCTGGGTACCGGTTTTTCTCATTCCGATACTCAATATTTTGTACCGGTATTAAGCTTACAGTACAATAAGACGGTTTGATACATTTTCTGGCAAAACCTGTCGGCAGTGCAGTGAACCTTAAAGCTTGTGTTAGAATTCCTGTATTACTGTCAACTTTCAGAAATAGTGACATGCACTCTAGCGGTAACTAGGGAAAATACTTGAAACTTTTTGCAATTCAGTAAGTTCTTTGAAATTATGGCTGTCACTGTCTTTGAATGTTAGTGGTGTGACTGTACTGTACTGTATTTCTTTTATCGTAAAAACACTGACGCAGCCTAAATTGCATTTAGTACAATATTTCAGTCGCCTTTTAATAACTCCAGTTTTCTGTTAATATTAATATCAATTAATTCCTAAATAGCCCACCAGATGTCGGGGATAATGAATTAATGGTAATACAGTTATCTTCTCTTGTATTTCAAAAAGTACAGATCCTTGTAATTCTCAATGTCACTCAGTTGTGAAAAAATCCGATAGGTGATGCCATCAAAGAATTTGTTAATATTCATATATTCGTATTTTTAATATTTGAAATATTATTACATAAATATTATTCAGTTTCAAAACAATCTAGCAAATACATCACATTCGCCAGAAAGAAAAAGCGACTGTAAAATGCAGAGAGATGGTAAAATGAAAAAAGTGATTCTGATTAGAAAAAGAAAGAAGTAGGTTAGGTAGGTAACTTAGTTTCGAGGTTTTACAATTTTTTTTTATAAAAAGAACTGTCAATCTCAGTGTCTTCAGGAGCCACAAATACTTACGGTCACGTCCCAATAGTGATTGTATATTAGGGATCAAGAAAAACTTGAGTTTAATTTAAATAAAATCCTTTCAGTCTTAATTTCATTAAGTTTACTACCAATCAACACGTTACGGTCCTTTACTATCTAAATAAACTAGCAACACTTCTTGATTCTCTAAAATAAAGAAAAAATCGAATTAACTCTAAGTGGGATCTCGGGAACGATTCCGGAAGGGAGCTATAAAAAGTCGGCAAGCCTGTCGCTTTTCTGCCACTCCAGGACCATTATACGGTTTTAATTAACGTTTTGGATATAATTCCCTTTCCGTTATTATCCCGATTTTAAATTTAGTGTGATTAGAAATGAAAGACAGTTTTGTATTAAATAATAAGCAGGTACTGTAGCACAAAAATAAATGATTTTTTTTTCGTGTCTCTTGTGAAAATATGTTAGTTTATCATGTTTTAAGAGCCCCCTCAAAAAATCAGCTCAAAAAAAATTTGTTAGAGGTCGTAAAAAAGTAAATTAGAATCCCGTCATTTTGGCCTGATTTTCAAAAACAAAATATAAGCGTTAATCAGAGCTGGGTAATTACTTGTAATTTAAAAATAGTTACAATTACAAATTACTTTTTTAAAAAAGGAACTAATTACAATTACAAAGTATATTCTTTAAAAAAGGAATTATATTAATTTAATTACAGTTACATGGAAAATGGATTTAGCAATTACTTTTCTAATTACTTTTCTAATTACTTTTATGATAAAGTAAATTATAGTGACCAAACAGAGAAAAAGGAAAAAGTTAAGTTAAAAATTTAAATTAAAAGTGTTGTGTAATATTGCGTTTTATTATTTATTAGAATTGATACTAAAATGAAAAGATTATTCTTATTCATTTTCTGATATAGAATTTTTATATTTTTATTCCTAATCTAATAATTTAAACTAGTTCAGTTCATACTATAATTTTATATTATTGGTCAGGTAATTAATTCAACCCGATGCTCTTTTTTTTGGTTGTTAGTACATTTGCAAAATATAGAATACAGTAGTTTTGGGTAGACTGGAAAGCAATAATTATTATTAAAAAAATTACGAATCGAACAAGTACGAGTGAAAGGCTGAGTAACCGAACCAGAAGTTTTCTCAACTCAAAATAAGAGCAGTAACACATAGATACATAATATATATTTTTATAAAACTTGATGCTATAGACAACATATTTTTACTTCGTATATTTTCTAAATTAATAATAATTATAATAAAATAAAATGTACTCTGTTAATTCTGAGGTTAATTCACCAAATCACTTTTTATTGTTCACGCGGCACAAGGCTTTCCTCAAATGAAATAATAGAAGTCTGCAAGTCTGTACGCAATTACGCAATACGCATGATCTTAAAAGTAATTATAATTATTAGAAAAAGTAATTGTAATTGGAAAAAGTATTTGTACTTATAGAAGTAATTTGTAATTCGATAGTTCAAATAATATAATTACAAATTACAATTCCTATAACAATTTTGCTGCAATTACAATTCCAAATTACTTTAATAAAAAAAAGTATTTAAATACAATTACAATTACAGGAAAAAAAAGGGAATTGTAATTGCTAATTACTTTTTCACCAGGAATTACCCAGCTCTGGCGTTAATATGCAATCATGATTTTTTTTGTTATTTTGCGTCTTTTACTCTCAGTTTTAATTTCATCCTTTGTCAGATTTTATTTCGGCTGTTGTATGCTTTCAAACGTCTGCATAAACCACTAGTCAGATCAGACTGTGTATTTAAATATTTATAGTGTTACAAATTATAGCTAGAAATACAAGCCATTAACATATGAAGGACAAACATGATTTTAATAAACCCTAAAAAAGTACATATCTGCAAACTTTCTCGAATTTTACTTTATGATTTTTTTGGACACCCTTTATAATAAAAAAAGTAAATAAATAAATAAAATAAAATTTTAAACAAATTACCTAAATCTAACGACTACATTAGGGTGGCCCAAAAAAAAAAACGATGATTTTTCTATTCTCTTGTGAAAATATGCTAGTTTATCATGTTTTAAGAGCCCCCTCAAAAAATCAGCTCAAAAAAAATTTTTTAGAGGTCGCTCAAGATTTTCAAAAATTTCCAAAATCGTCAAACATTGATGAAAAAAAATTTTTTTTCTCGCTATTTTATCATTTTCTAAGTTGAAAAATATCTCGATTCTGAAAATTTCAAATCGATATTTTAATTTCTAAAGGTCACTCATAATTATTTCAAAGTACTGTACCTAAAATGTTTTCGAGCGACCTCTAAAAAATAAATATCAACGAACTAATAATTTTTTTATTAAATTTGTTGAACAAAAGAATAGAAATAAATGACGAGGCACATAAATTTTAAAAAATTAAAAAATTATAAATATTTGATATCCGCAGTGTGGTGGAGAAATTTTTTAAGTGTCTCGTGATTTATTTCTATTGTTTTGTTCATCAAATTCAATAAAGAAAATATTAGTTGGTTGATATTTATTTTTTGAGGTCGCTCGGAAACATTTTAGGTACACTTTTAAAGTTAAAATAATTATGAGTGACCTTTAGAAATTAAAATATCGATTTGAAATGTTCAGAATAGATTTTTTTCAACCTAGAAAATGATAAAGTACCGAGAAAAAAAAATAAAAAAAATTCAATTTTTGACGATTTTGGAAATTTTTAAAAATCTTGAGCGACTTCTAAACAATTTTTATTTTTTTTGAGCTGACATTTTGAGGGGGCTCTTAAAACATGCTAAAGTAACATATTTTCACAAGAGACACGAAAAAAAAATCGTTTTTTTTTGGGCCACCCGAAGATACTGCCAGAAAAATTATTTTTTTTTTATTTTAGCTAATAAAAGTTAATTATTAAATTAAAGAGATTTACTGCACTAACAAGAAAGTCTAGGGAAATGTGAAAAAACTGGTAACTAGTTTGATTTATAAACTTTGTAAACATACATATATTTTTGTTTGTTGAGAACAAAAATAGTACCTATTAGCATATACACGAGTCTCGTGTGACATCCGCCCCTCAACCCTCATATTATCTTCTCCCTTGAATTTAATTCCAAATTATGAACCGTTAAATTAAAGATTTTCCCTCAGGACGGCTTGCTGTATGTTGGAAAGTGTGTGTATACCTGAATCCACTTTTAAAACCGTCCACTGAGCTTCTAAGAATGTCCTGATGTCTGAAGTTTATAATACGATAAGTAGGTAGGTATAGGTACATGATATATTTGAATTTAAATGTTTAATTTTAAAAAATACTTTTGAGTTTTTGTTTTTGAATTGAATATATAAATAGCAAGTGTAGCTTATTTTAACATATGTTTAGTTTTAACTACTAAATATTTTTTCATAACAAGCTTATAACGCAGGAAATACGAATTAGGGAGAAACGGAGTTTTTCGATCTTGTTTTTGCCAGAGGGGGATAATCAATATTCAATAAGTCGGCGAAAAAACAATTTATGATGATTCAAGTTCATGCAACAGTTTTTTCATTATAGCTTTGACTTATTTTTTAACTTAAGAGAATATAATAGATAGGTAATACATAATGTCAAAAATATTATTCACTAGCACATTTGTCATGTTAAAATATAAGATTTCTATAGTAATTTATTTGTATTTTGCAACCATTTTCCTAAGTAGTCCTGATAATATTGATAATCAATTAAGTATAGCGATATTGATTACTAAATTGGTATGATTAATATAGTAGAGAAATCAGTGGATTCGGTTATAAGTGCCTGTATCATAAAAATCCTTTGGAATAATTCGTAACTGCGACCTAGACTCTAAAGGTTTTCGGTCTAAGCTATAGAAAATGATATACTTAATCAAAATCAAATTTTGCAACATTTTCGTCCAAAGTTACAACATCCTAGTCATTACTCGACAATTTTTCACTGATGCCACCTGCCAGGATTTCTTGTGGTAAATTTCGTTTCAAGGGTCCGTTCGCT